ACGTGTCCACAGATGGGGACATGACAATGTATGCGGGTAGAGCATTTCATTCATTTTTTCTAAAATTAAAGATTTTACTCTCTTTCCCAAAATACTAATAATAAGTTTTATTGGCAATGCACCTATTGTGCACCATCAAAACCCTCGGAAAACATGAAAAAACCTAAAAAAAACCCTTTGTTTTCCACTCAGATATTGGCTCTGTGTTCGTTGTATGCTAAGTCAATAGTGTGCATGGTAGGAAGTTTGTTGTAAATGGAAAGAAAGATGTCTCAAAAGGTACAATCATATCAAAATTGGAAAAGAATATTAATGCGCTTTATGTGTTAGAGTTTTTAAAGTAAGGGTATTTGAGGTCTGGAAAGAGTCTATCATCTACGGCTTTTTTATTGATCCTTCTGGCCAGGTATATTCAGCCGCGGTCAGTTCAAACAGTAACCTCTTCAAAATGGACCGCAGAAAGGCAGCAATCCAGTTTGAAATATGGCCCGCTCTCTGCCTTGGTGTACTGTACATTGCAAAATTTTGGCAAGGATATTTGAGGGCAGTCCGAACAATTAAGAACTAGTTGCGAAGCATCGTCTTTATGCAGCTTCGGATCCCGAAGATGCCGATCTGATTTGCGAAGAGCGATAGGCTTTTTTACTGAAGTCTGTGTCTGTACAGGCACTCTGAGTCACAACTCTAATCAATAAACGAAAAGAAAATGATCGAGCGCTGACTTAACTACCAACTCCCAATTACGTCCCAAATTTAAGGGGAATATTGATAGTATGTTTTACATTTTTAATTGCTTATAATAAGTTAATCTTTAGGTTTACTTAATCAGGTATTCGTTTGAGTAAAATATTTGTAAGGAATTGCATCCCTGGGAACTTTATATTCTTAAATGGGGATATATGGGCAAGTGTTAACTTATATGTTGCCTATTTTGTTGCTGATCAGAAATAACTCAATTTCCGGTCCAACGAACAAAACCAAAGAGGGTTGTTTCACGAAAACAAAGTCGGATTTCCCCATAATCCTGCGTGCTTTCCAATTTTTCAATTCAAACCCAGCGGATGCCGTTGACTTTGCTTTGGGACGTTGTGAACCTAAAATCCGGTCGACAAATCAATGGTTAAGCCAAACCTAGGCTGTAATACCATCTACTCCAATTTTGCTCATGACTGTAAATGATATGAACCGTATTGTTTTAATTTTTTAATAGGTTGGAGTCTATAGTTCAGCCGTGGGTCCCTATCCGTTTTGTGGAGGAACACTGATTCTGCCCAAATGGGTGCTAACTGCCGCTCACTGCATTTTCATGTCCTTAAATGCAACTATGCTCCATATGGTCAGCTCTTCTCGTACCGTGATGTCACTGGAGAACACATGGCGGTAACTGTCGCAGACCATACGTACACGCAGCGCCAGCGTCCAGCCTACAACGTGCGAGTGAAAGGTATCATTATGCATCCCTCCTACACAGGCGATGCTGCAGCCGCTGGCTTCGACATCGCACTCCTGCAACTGAACCGCGCAGTCAAACCAAGTACGTATGAGCACTGCTTTGCGCGTAAACTACATGCAAACGTGTCAAAGTATTTTATTTTTCTCTTAAAATCTGATCAAGCGGTTGTGTGCCACCCTATGTAGAAGAGTTAGGAAATTGAGCTTTGTCACCCGCAGTACATGATTCCTTTCACTTCAATCGTCCTTGGCAGAGGAAGAAGAAGATGGGACAAGTCCCGAGACCAAGTTATATCTAGGCTGACATTCCAAAAATATTGTAGTTTTTATCGTCATATAGCACTGGCTATGTTTATGCCAACTTCGATTTAATATGTCTTACCGTTAGCCCCCTCTAATGGCCGAGCCCGATGCACACACATAGATCAATTGTGCGGACCTTTTGCAGTTGGGAAGACGTTTCACGTCGTTCGTTGCCTTTTAATCGTTCCTACCGTCTTCGCAAGCGGTTGCCGGCTTTTGACTTTGCGTAAGGTCCTTCGCCCGACCTCGCGCTCCGTTTTGAGCAAAGGTTAGCCTTGTGAGGAGGGCTTGGTAGGCGAGATCAAGTTCTATGTATTAGTGCAATTTACCAGTCGAGGGCCAACAGTCTATCAGTAATGTAGAAATCTTCTGATTTGTTCGGCTATTGCCCTTGTTTGTTTAAAGGATAAATGTGATTAGTGTCTTGTTGTTGGTTATATAACATATACAGCTTAACCTCACGGTTGGTTTTAAGAGTTTGCCGATTCACCAATATTCAATGCCCTGTAGTTTTGGCATGGTATGTTGCAGAACCCGTCTGACTGTTCTGTCAAAATAGGCGGGCATTTAAACTTCATAATCTGCTACATGTAGGTTGGCTCCGGTATATGAGCTACACCAATGCCGAATGGTTTCAGGGGTCTTGCTGTCACCTCTGATACGTTTTTAATATAGAGAAGACAGATTGCGAATAACCGTTGGCCTGATATAGTTTATTCCAATATTTAAACACCTGTTTTTTTTCCACTGCCGTCACCGGAGTGTTTCTGGGCGCATTAGAAGGGGCATCTAAGACAACTGCGTTCGTAACTAACTGGGTGGTTGCGTCTGAAGTGGAGAAACGCAGTGTTCGCCGCCTTATGGTATATCGTTATTAGCTTGAAATTATTTATGCGTTTGAATAGATTGCCAATTATAGTGCTTGTAATGAATATCGTGTGGCCTAATCTTAAGATATATTGTCATCACATCAGGTAATAACAGGCTGCAAGTAATTTATGTGGACGTTTCGTTATAAAAGGCTGTCAGATTTAACTACTCAATCATGCGAATGCTTTATTTAGACAAATGAGTTAACGGCAAACTTTCATAAATTTGCTTCTGTAATAATGCATAATTTTTGCTACTTTTTTTTCGAAGCATCGGTGGCAGAATATGCCTGTCTTCCGGAGCCTGGAATGAATCTGCCTGCTGGGTATTTTTGCTAACGTGCTGGCTGGGGACCGATTCCTAATCCACTTAATCCGCCACACCCAGATATTCCGGAGACACTGATGGAGGTAGGAATTCAACTTGCGCCAAAGGCTCTGTGCAAAATCAAGGTTCCAAGTGTTGACGATTATGATACAGTTTGTACGGACGAGGCGCAAGGGGTAAGAATTGACAGTAAAGGCTCTACTTCGCAAATGTAAAACCAGAACGTTGCTCTCTTTTCCCTTTCAAATTTTTCTTATTTATATCCCTATTTTTATCAGGGCGGCTGTAATGGTGACAGTGGTGGAGGACTGCACTGCTTAACTCCAGACGGATACAACTGGATTGTCTACGGTATAGCTTCTGCCAGCGCCCCCAACTGCACGATAGGATTCGACGTATTCGCATTGACAGCGACGAAACTCGGCTGGATTAACGCGGTAATGGCTGCACATCCCTAACGAAATTGACTGATATTGCGTGCCAACTACGCTTTCGGGGGAAGGCTTTAAGTGTGTGAACGTGTTGCGTTAACTGCCGGTAGTGAGACCACCAACGAAGTGTAAACGTATTTTTAAATAATATTCGTAAAATGACTAATCCGAACTCTTCCTGCGTTTCCTCTGTTAATTGGTATGCTATGCATGTGTACGGTAATAATCACGTATAACATTGAAATAATATACATGTCTTGCATTCTGTAATATTCAATCATGCGCATTTTAACGCAGGTTGCTTTTTATGTAATGTGAGATGTCGACAAAGTGATTGGCTTGCCAACGCATGCCGTTAACACCTTATTCAAATAAAAACCCGTGAAACCCACAATTTGTCCACTATTCCAGATGATGCCTAAACTAAGAAGTGCACAATTATCGATAAAAAATTATGTTTATTTTTGAGAATTTTAATTTAGAAATCGTTTAGTAATTGTTCAGTTATATGTTCTGTTACACAGATACTTATTTTGAAATTTAGTGCGTTTTATTTTAATAAATCAAGGGACCACCGTTTTCCGATTTCTATGTAAATATGGTCCCTGTGACGTCTCTGACCCAACCAATGTGAGTGAATAAATACTAAATGACCACTCGCAGATTGGTAACGAAACGCCTTCAATCTGTTTTGCCTTGCAATTTAATCGCGAGTCCTTCGAACACTCGAAAGGTAGCTAGAAATTTTTGGGAGGATGAATTTGCCGGGAAGGACATAGGAGGCTGGACTTCCTCCTTCCAGTGGACTAATAATAATCAGCCAACTAAACCTAAACTCAACCTCTAAGACCCCGAAGCTATTATGAAGTGGTTTTAAATGTTTTCTTCGTATTACCAGGCTTGTTTGAGCCTCGGTTTATTCAGTCGCGGCGAGTTGCATTTGAAAGACCCGTGACGGCAAATATGCCTGCAGTGTTCCTTATAGTGTCAATTTACGGTATTTTTACTCAGTCATAATAAAGGTTATGAATATTTTATTTGTAAATGGTTAGTGTTAAGCACGTGATGAATAGGCGCAGCAGCAAGTTGCATGCAAATTAAAGTGCAATTGGATAACGTTTAAAGTTAACATTTCATTTCCCCAACGGCAACCTTTTTCTGAAGCTTCCGCATTAGCTTCTTAGAAGACTGGTTGCAATTTTAACAATATCGTTTGATTAAGTACTGAAGTTCCCAAGTTGCGATGAGCAAAAACAGTATTTTTTTCTATACCAGTCGCACAGCGGGGAGTGTGAAAGCGAACGTCAGTAAATACTAAAATGGTCGTCGGCATTACTAAATTAATGGAGTTAATACATTGGAACGCCCACAAGCAAACAATCTGGAAACATATGCCCATTAAAAACAGATCAACCGTCGAAGTGTACGTCCTTCGACATTTTCGAAAATGAACAAATGCTTGTATTATGTAAAGGAGAATATATCCAGACGTCTGAAGAATTAAAAAGGGATAAACCAATGTTTTTGGAGACTTTCTTATACCGTGTAATGTTTGTTATTACTTATGCCAACCAGTGTTACGATGACTGAAACAGATAAAAGAGTACAGTGAACTCGAATTGGAATTTTCCAAGGAGCTTGTCAGCCAAAAGGAAATTTGTTTTATGTGCTGATCACGTAGGGGTCACATATTTGTTGGGGTCTTAGTACTGGGTTTACTCCGATCGCTACATTCAGTCAGTCAGTATATTTGAGGGAAAGGTAGGCTTGCGCCTTTGAACT